CCCCCCACCCCCATCCCGATTTTTCACACTTGCTGTCTGGTCACCCTATCACCACCTGTTAGTGGCTTCGATTATCAAAACAAGAGAGTGCCAGGCCTTTAATCTTCAGCCTTCAAGGGAGTTGTTCCTATTTCCATTCAGTTCGGTTTGGCCAGTGAAGTTGGTTTCATGTTCAGGTTCTTAGATGTGCAAAGGCAGCCTTTCCCACTCATCAGGGAATGGTTAAAAAAAAAAAAGAGGACTTTACAATTCGTTATAGGGCTTATGTTCTGTAAAGGATTGCTTATAAAAGTTTTAATTTGGGTATAAATTGTGGCCTTGGAAAATATGGTTCTATTCTAAAACAATGCCAAAAAAAATTGATTGCCTTTGCTATGGAATGATTGAAATAAAACATGGACCTGTCTTTTTTACAAATCACTTTTCAGGGTAGAAATGTTGCTGAGGGGAAAGGGAAGGGTAGCTACAAAATCAAGTCCACATTCTGAAGTTCTATATTTTTCAGCTAAGTGCATATTCATAGACAAAACTTCATAGGCTGTTTTAAATACATAGCCACATGCCAACAGCCAGGAGGGTAAATACAGCCCAATGTAGTATAAAATTGTGTAGGTTCTTAAGGAAAATCTTATCTTTAGTCTTTTGCAGAAATGGAACAATTTCAAGAGTATTCTACAGATCTCTATTAACCATGTGAGGAATAATGCAAGCCAAAAAGGAAATTAAAAGTGGGCCAGATCCTCAGCTGATGTAAATCAGCATTGCTCCATTGAAGCCAAGGGAGCTACACAAGTTTACCCCAGCTGAGAATCTGACCCTGTATGTCTAAAGCTAAGCTGTATCTTATTCTAGAGCCTCAAAGTTAATAAAATCAGATTATTAGTACTAAAAGTCATAATGAGAGTAAGCTTATCAACTATTTACACACTCAGCAGCTGAGGCTTTCAAACTAACAATGAACAAAGTTTTATGTAAATACAAATAAGTCTTATGACTGGTCCTGCTTATTTAGATGGGAGATCAGTACTTGAAGTTGTATGGAATGCTGAATGGCCATTTTTATTCCTGCCAGAAATCAATACCTAGAGAAAAGGAAGTCAATTCTGACCTCAAAAGTTACATTAAAACCCTGCTGTAGAAAAACAAGTAGTAAGTGAAGTTTAAGTGTGTAGGGAAGCAAGGAAGAATTAATACACAATAAAATGCCTTTTCTGCACAATCCTTAGAAAGGAAAGGCAGATCCCTCACAGAGCATGGTAAACCAAGGATATCAAACAACATCCAGCCTCAGGGTCAAATGTAATACATGGTCACCCTCTCCGCAGCTGCAAAATGAAGATTTTTATTATTGCTGAACTTAACCAGCTAGTGCAAAACACACTTTCCTCAAACCCCAAACATCAGTACTAAACTCCTTTGGAAGTGGTCTTTCCTCCAGTAGGTACCATTAAAATATAAGATGGGAGAAATAACTACTCTTAATAATATATTAGTGAAACATATTAATAAACAATTTTAAAACCCTATTAAAAATACAGTAGAACCTCAGAGTTAAACACCTCAGGAAAGGAAGTTGTTCGTAACTCTGAAATGTTCTTAACTCTGAACAAAACATTATGGTTGTTCTTTCAAAATGTTACAAATAAATACTGACATAATACAGCTTTGAAACTTTACTCTGCAGAAGAAAAATGCTTTTAATATTTTAATTTAAATGAAACAAGCACAGAAACAGTTTCCTGACCTTGTCTAATCTTTTTTTAAAACTTTCCCTTTATTTTTTTTAGTAGTTTACGTTTAACACAGAACTGTACAGTATTTGCTTTTTGTTTTGTTTTGTTTTGGTCTTGCCTGCCTGATTGCGTACTTCTAGTTCCAATTGAGGTGTGTGGTTGACTGGTCAGTTCGTAACTCTGGTGTTCATAACGCTGAGGTTCTACTGTAATCTTTTCCCTTTGTGTTACTGTATCTTGTCTTAGTGGAAAAACACCAATTTGAATTTGTTTAGTGACCTCTGTTTAAAATGCTGGATGCCTTTATTTAAGGACATATAATATCCTTTAACCTTTTATTTTGGCTTCTCCCTTCTTGCAATAACATGAACATCTTCCATGTAGGTCTACACCTATTACTAGTAATTTCTGTGATTTTCTACAATACACATCATCTATCCATGTATGTAGTTTTAATTTGTAGTCATGGGTCTTGAAAAGGAAAAACACATTAAAAGGCTGAGATCCCTCAATTCCAAAATAATGGAAGTGGTTGTATATTACTGCTGCCAAAGCAGTACCGCTGGCTGTAGAACTCTTACTTTCCCTATAAAGATCATCTGCAATATTTCAACGTCCCACTGTATGATACTACTGATAACTACAAGTTCAAAGTAAAATTTTGCAACAAATTAACATTATTCCTAAAAAAGTGAGTCAGTTTATTAAAAAACAATCTTCATAATAATTATTGTTTTCTGATATTTACACAGCAAGGATTTGTAAACCTGTTAATACTTCCTAAATAAATAAATAAAAACCCTTCTACTGAACCTTTTTGTATTTGTTTACTTAATTACCAGCAGTTTGACTTTACACATACAATAGTTAATGAACAAAAGTGATTTTATTATTTATTATAAATTAACTAATAAGATTATAAATTACAACCATCTAATTCACTGTACAAGTTTATGCAATTTCAGTTCATATAAATTCCTGCTTTATCTGTAGGCATGAAGTGTGTTCTCACGTCATTATCTCAACTTATTCCTGATGCTCCTGCTCTTGTCCCGGTATTAGCCAACGAATGCTCTCAGTCCGAATGGTAGCATACATAATAAAACTAACCAGAAACAATAAAGAGAATAAAAGTAACCAATCTATTCCTTTTGTCAGGACACTCGGTAGAGGGCCTGCTCGGTCTTCCTCAGTTACCACCACATCATTCTTAGCTTCTATTCCTGAAAGAAGAAACCAGTGATAAAAGCTGCTAGCAATAGGCATTTTTAAAATCTATGGGTGATTAGTTCATTGTAGGAACTGTATTCTTATCTCCAAATTAAGCAGCTTGTGCTACAGGACTTAACACAACTCTGGTTCATATAGTCCCAGGATTTTACTATATAACTATGGGGCATCTGCTCATGCGTTTTAGACAGTAGAGCAGCACAGATCTATTTTCAGTGACCTATGCTAAAAGTCAGTTTTCCATTTTCAAACTGTCAAAGTATCTTAATACATATTTCCTTAGTACTGTGTCATTAGAAGAGTTTTATTCTTCCATTCCCAGTGTAATCTTTGGTAGAAGTACCAGTCAGGGAATCTACAATAACAGTAAAGGTAATCCTGCTTTAATAACGATTTAGCAGTCTCTTCCATTAATCTGTCACAATACTAGTGCATGTTTTTTCTTCTACTCTCATAAGGCTAATTATGCTGTTGGAAGAGAGAGGGGAGCTGGGTAAACTCAGCCCATGGAGATCAGAGCCTGGACAGCTGATTCCCAGCAACAGGAAAACTATTCAGGGCTCCCTCTGCTCCTCCTATGTCCCCACCAACATAAGAACTGAGGCTGCCATGTCCCCCACCTGTTGCCTAGCCTACAGCAATGGGACATAGGAGTCTGATCCTTTCCCCTCCTGGAATGTGGAGATAAGGGTAGTACTAATATCTGTCCAGAACTATTCCCGAATAATCCAGGACTTCAGGAGTGGGGAAGTGCTTGATCCTCCTACTTACACTCTCTGCCTGAGCTCCAAGCACCCTCCCCCCGCCTTCCACCAAAACAGCTTTCGATAACTGGGCTGTTTGCTTCTACCTTGTCCTGAAATTCCACTCAGTGCTATGGTGACTGAATAGGAACTTCCTAAGGCTCTGTTCCTGGCAGCAGGAAGGCTCTAGGAGGCCCTAATATAGCCTCTTTAAAAAAGGGAGAAGTCAGTTTGAGGCTATACCTGATCCTGACCTTCATAGTTCTGCATCAAGTTTAGCCTACATACCTGTCTGATTAAAAATGAATGCTTTCAGCATTTCCAGGGTTCGGTCTGTATGATTAAATCTGGCCATGGGTTTGGCTCCTTGGAAAAGGAGGATATTAGGAACGGCCACAGTTCCAAATCTGGTTGATAAACTGAAGGAAATAAGTAGGTAAGAAATGAGGTCACAATAGAAGAAGGAAAAGTCTGCTTTACTAAATTAACATTTAATTTAACTCAATAACAAGAACAAGGGCACAACTATTTTCTTATGACATTAGGGAATGTTTCACTAGTGAATTTAGGCAATACAAAATTCTGCAGTGGGTTAGTGCATTAACTTTCATTTTGGAGACCCATGTTTCAATCCTGTCTTAGGGCACAAGGGTCTTGTTCTTGTCCTTTGAGGATGCACTGTGAAGTGGTCAGAGAAATGGATGTGGCATATTTTACAGTCTCTGCTCAGAAGAAACCCAGAAATGAATTTGCATGTCAAGATTTAGATGAATTAGCAGAACCCAGCATCAATCTACACTAGGTCAAATTTTAGCCAGTGCTATTAATCCCTCATCTTGAAGAGCAAGATGTTTATTTGAACATTTAAGAAATATTAACTTCATTATTAAAAGATGAATGAGGGAGAAAATTGCCTGAAGAAAAGCTAAAGGAAGTAAAGGCAGAGTCAGAGGGGCAGAGAACTCTAATTTACTCAGGGAGTACATATTACTCCATCAATACATTTTAAAAGCATAAGGTTTGTCAGAATCAGAAACAAAGTGCTAATACTGTAGCATGTGAAGCTTTATAAGGTGAAGTGTATTTATTGCAAGTTACCTGCTATGCTGAGATGCATCCAATGCCAGGAAGTTTAGAGTTGGAAATGCTCGGGGCAAAGAATTAAAATGAGGGGCCAGATTGGCAGAGAAGCGACACCAGGGTGTATAAAACAAGACTAATGTACAGTCACTGCTGTTTGGGTTTAAAAACTCCATCAGGTCCTGTGAAAGAAAACATGCTGATTTAAAAAGGAGGGGCCAATAAAATATTTAAAAGGGTTCTGTTACATATCATTGTATAAAAGGGTTCTATTACATATCATTGCATAATACTCTGGTAACAGATTAATTTCAGGAGAACACTGTAGTACCATCATAAGCAAATTTGAGTTGGCATTTCAGTCAGAAGTCTGTTTTTAGCAGTATTTCAACAGTACATAAACATTCAATGAACAAAATTTAGTCAGACTGATGTTAATCCTAACTGCATTTTTCAAATGTAAAAATCTCCTTGGTAGACAAATAATACTTTGGGGATTATTACTAAATAAAAAAGGCATTTTTTTCATTCTTTCTTCCCTTACCTAAGAGGCCCTACTCCCTGGCTGCAGATGTGTAATGTAGGAGCTGAATCCTGTTCATCAGGAAGTGGGGCTGACAGCTCTGAAGGGAAAGTTAGGAGATCCACCACTTCATTTCTTCTCTAATAGGGGAATTCCAAGCCTTAACAGGGCCAAGAAGCTAATTTGTGGGATAAAAGGGTAGTGGAGCTGTTCCTAAAACAAGACAAGTGAAGGGCCAGAAGAGAAAGCGGGAGATGAACAAGGATATGAAAGGAAGTTACTTAGTCACAGGACAGAGAACTGATCAGGCTAGGGAATCACAGGCAAGGATGGCTTGTGGAAGGGTAGGAAGGAAGGCAAGCAAGGACCTGGTAAGCTAAACTTATTCAAATAAACTGTGCCCAGGCCCATGCTCCCTTCTGACTCTCTTTATCTCCCCAGCATTTGGGGGAACAGAGAGAAACCTCTGTTGTATGAACCAGACTCAAACTGGTTCTGCTACCCTATAGTTTGGTCTGGGGTGATGTAATATCTCAAATACTTAAACCAGTCTTTAAGACAAAGCTGGGAGCTAACAATGGGGAGAGAGACTTTCTGTAGCCTCCTGGGAACAAGAATGCCTTACTGAGATTCTAACAAGACAAGCTGCTTTTTAAACTATGGGTCAGTTGAAGGACTTTTAAGGTGTCTCAATTATTTTCCGTACTTAGTAGAGCTGGTCAGAAATGTCAAAAATGAAATTTCAACTAAAATTTGTGAAAAGTTTCCATTTTCCTATCAGCTGTAATTCATAGTAGTATTTATCTGAAATCTGTTTTTTTTTTTATTTTATTTTCTACCCTCTCTTTAAGTAAAGCCACCTAAATTAGAATTTAGTGGAAACAAGTGCTGCAAAGCATTCTTGAGGGAAGAAAATTGGTCTAAAGAAAAAAGTGCTGCAGGGAAGCTGGCACAAGTCACGATGGGTTCCGTGAGACCCTTTAGACTTGGGGAACATAGGCATGGTACATAGTGGAATTGAATATCTTACTATTTCTGTATTTCAAAACAATATGGAAAGTGCACTGCCCTGTATGCTAACTCCCCTCCCACCAGCACACTAAACACTTGTTTTAAGTTATCCTTTTTGTGCTACTAAACTCACAAGGGCAAATACTGGAAGGATTATAGAGTTTTTACCCAAATGCTACCTATATTTGTGTAACACCTACCCAAGTATCAAGATAAACATAGAAAGTAGCAAACAGAATGATTTCCTACTTACTTGCGAAACATTCAGGATTTGTAGCGTGAAGTTTCTGATCCCGGTAATATTTCTTTCCTCACAGTTCACTTTGGGAGTTTTTACACTGTCTGTGCTATTAGATTCCTCAGCTGGTGAAGTAGGTACAGCCTCTAGCACTACATTAGTGTCCCCTGCTTGTTCTTGAACATGTGACCCAGGCTGTGATAAGTGAGAAGCAAGGCTAGTCCCCACACTACATTCAGCATCTTCCACTGCTGCATCGCAGGTGCCAATACCGAATTCAGACATGCGTCTGTCCTTTGCTTCTCCTGGAATAACTGACAGCACCACAGACTGATCAGCAGGAATCCCACTACCCAGCATTGCATCAGCAATTTCTGCAGTCTTGTACTGCACTGGCGCCTGAGGCTCTCCGGTAAGGGCAGAACCACCTTCTGTGCTAAGAGGTAGGGCAGTTTCAGACAGTGTCTCAGCATTTTCCTCTGCTGCTGCTCCTATAAAAGTAACAATATTTAGCACCTGCGTTCAGTTGTAGCTTTAGCTTCTTTCGGGCTATGTGTTTTTTTTTTAAGGGATCAGCAATTCTCATGGAAATGAGGGTCAGGGGGAGGAGAACACAGCGATAACCACCACGGCCAATATCTCCTGCTCTTAGAGTTCTATTACTTGTGACACCTGGGGAGCCCTGCCTGACAGCAGGGAAGAGCCCCACACAGACGAGCCCCTACAGCCAAGCAGAGGGCAGCTGGAAGATGAACGTGTCCCGTCCCCTCCTCCTGCCCCTTTACTCGAGGGCCATGGTGCAGCTTAGAGGAGCAGGCAAGAAGGGGGCCAGCCTGGGGCCGGCAGAAGCGCTGTGCGACCCTCCTACCCGGCACAGAGCAGCGGGAGAGGGCTGGTACCAGCACCGTGACCCTAAAACCTGGGTCAGCCCCGGGAATGGTGGAGACAAAGACACCTCCCCCCAAACACACACAGAACGGTGGCGAAGGGGAGCGAGAGCGAGCAGGGCTGGCGGATCAGCCTGGTTACCTCGGGCCGGCCCGCTACGTGCCCTCACCTGCCAGGAGGCTCCCGCTCAGCCAGGTCAGCCAGAGCAGCTGCCGGAGTCTCCACCCGGGAGAGGAGAGAGCCCGCATCCTCGGGCGGGAGAAAGAACGAGCCCAGCCGGCCTGCGTCTCCACTGACAACCACCGCTTCCGGCCGGCTCCTCAATCGCTTCCGCTACCGGGGTAACAGCTGCAGACCCAGGTCTGAAATCGCCATCTTGGGCCTGGGCCGCGTGGCCTCGGCCGCCATCTTGGGTTCGGGCAAAGGGTCCGTAGGGTCTACAGACTTCAGCCAAGACACACGGGTCAGTCGCTGCCCATCACGGCCGCTGTGCGCACGAATGCCCAATCGCATCCCTTCCTAGAGCGCCCGAGGTACTCTGGCCCCGGCCTCCCACCGCACAGGCCCCCCCCGCCTGCATCCCTCAGCTCCTCTCACCTTAGCAGGATGCCCGCCAACAGGTGGCAGACCGTCCCCGCCCTTCACAGCCACTCCGGGCCCTGTTGCTCCAGCCGTGGCCTAGGGTGGCTGTAGCCTCTGGTTGCTAGGCTGGCCTGTAGCGGTTGTGTTCAGGGAGGCGAGTGTTTTTCGTCACCCCCGCTTTGCAAACATGACATAACTAATCCTCATAGACAGACCAGTAAAGCGGGGTGGTTACTCGCATCCGAAGAAGTGGGTTGTAGCCCACGAAAGCTTATGCTCTAATAAATTTGTTAGTCTCTACGGTGCCACAAGTACTCCTGTTCTTTTTGCGGATACAGACTAACACGGCTGCTACTCTAAAACCTGTCATTACAGATGGAGAAAGGGAGGCAGATCGGCTGTCGCACTGGTTCTCAACCAGGGGTACATAGGGGTCTTCTAGGGGATACATCACCGCATCGAGCGTTTGGCCTAGTTTTACAACAGGCTACATAAAAAGCACTAGCAAAGTCAGTATAAACTAAAATTTCATACAGTGACTTGTTTATACCTCTCTAGAGACTATACACTGACATGAAAGTACAGTATTTATAGTCCAATTGATTTAGTTTATAATTAGGTGGTGAAAATGAGACAGTAAGCAATTTTTCTGTGACAGTGTGCTCTGTGGGTGTGTTTTTTTCAGTAATCGTGTGTATTTTTATGTCTGGTTTTGTAAGCAAATAATTTTGAAGTGAGGTAAAACTTGGGGGTTCACAAGACAAATCAGACTCCTGAAAAGGGCACAGAAAAGGGCAAGGTTAAGAGCTACTGGGTTAGATGATTTGCTCAAGCCCAGAGCAAGAGGCACTGTCCGGGTACAGAACTCAGGAAGTCTGCTACTTAGGCCCATTAATTTTTCACTAGTTTAAGCATCCTTCTCTTATTTTATGAGCCAGATTAGGTGACTGGTTAGTTTAAAAAACTAAAATTACCGTTTAGTGTGAACTTTCACCCAACCTAGGTTGGCAGGGATGGGAGGGGGGAGTGACAAAATCCCTCTCAGGGATGGTTTAGTCCAGTGCTTCTCAAAGTCAGGCCACCGCTTGTTCAGGGAAAGCCCCTGGCAGTCCGGGCCGGTTTGTTTACCTGCCATGTCCGCGGGTTCGGCCGATCGCAGCTCCCACTGGCCGCGGTTCACCGCTACAGGCCAATGGGGGCTGCGGGAAGCGGCACGGGCTGAGGGATGTGCTGTCTGCCCTTCCCGCAGCCCCCATTGGCCTGGAGTGGCAAACCGCGGCCAGTGGGAACCGCAATCGGTCGAACCTGCGGATGCGGCAGGTAAACAAACCGTCCCGGCCCGCCAGGGGCTTTCCCTGAACAAGCAGCGGGCTGGCTTTGAGAAGCACTGGGTTTAGTCTATTTCATAACTTCAGTAAATAATTCAGTGTTGGCTTTTGGTAATTGTTGTCTAAAGAGGGGCTAATTCCTTTTATTTGCATATAAGCACAGCTATCTGCATTTTTAAAAAGACATTGACTACACCTACATACTATTTGTAAAATGTATTTCCATCCCAAGAGGCTGGTAATATAAATACAGGACTATGACTTCACAGCAGAAGCAAAAGGAGGTAGTAGTGTCTTACAGGGGAGACAACCTGATTAACACAGAGTTATGACGCCCCTACTCTACTTGCGCTATATTGATGACATCTTCATCATCTGGACCCATGGAAAAGAAGCCCTTGAGGAATTCCACCATGATTTCAATAATTTCCATCCCACCATCAACCTCAGCCTAGATCAATCCACACAAGCGGTCCATTTCCTGGACACTACTGTGCTAATAAGCGATGGTCACATAAATACCACCCTATACCGGAAACCTACTGACCGCTACACTTACCTACATGCCTCCAGCTTCCATCCAGGACACACCACACGATCCGTTGTCTACAGCCAAGCTCTAAGATATAACCGCATTTGCTCCAATCCCTCAGATAGAGACAAGCACCTACAAGATCTCTATCAAGCATTCTTAAAACTACAGTACCCACCTGCTGAAGTGAAAAAACAGATTGACAGAGCCAGACAAGTACCCAGAAGTCACCTCCTACAAGACAGGCCCAACAAAGAAAATAACAGAACACCACTAGCTGTCACCTTCAGCCCCCAACTAAAACCTCTCCAGCGCATCATCAGAGATCTACAACCTATCCTGAAAGATGATCCTTTACTCTCACAGATCTTGGGAGACAGACCTGTCCTCGCTTACAGACAACCCCCCAACCTAAAGCAAATACTCACCAGCAACCACACATCACTGAACAAAAACACTGACCCAGGAACCTATCCTTGTAACAAAGCCCGATGCCAACTCTGTCCACATATCTATTCAAGTGACATCATCACAGGGCCTAATCACATCAGCCATACCATCAGGGGCTCGTTCACCTGCACATCTACCAATGTGATATATGCCATCATATGCCAGCAATGCCCCTCTGCCATGTACATTGGCCAAACCGGACAGTCTCTACGCAAAAGAATTAATGGACACAAATCTGACATCAGGAATCATAATACTCAAAAACCAGTGGGAGAACACTTTAACCTGTGTGGTCATTCAATGACAGACCTGCGGGTGGCTATCTTACAACAGAAAAACTTCAAAAACAGACTCCAACGAGAGACTGCTGAGCTGGAATTGATATGCAAACTAGATACGATCAACTCAGGATTGAATAAGGACTGGGAATGGCTGAGCCATTACAAACATTGAATCTATCTCCCCTTGTAAGTATTCTCACACTTCTTATCAAACTGTCTGTACTGAGCTATCTTGATTATCACTTCAAAAGTTTTTTTCACTTACTTAATTGGCCTCTCAGAGTTGGTAAGACAACTCCCACCTGTTCATGCTCTCTGTATGTGTGTATATATATCTCCTCAATATCTTTCACTCTATATGCATCCGAAGAAGTGGGCTGTAACCCACGAAAGCTTATGCTCTAATAAATTTGTTAGTCTCTAAGGTGCCACAAGTACTCCTGTTCTTTTTGCGGATACAGACTAACACGGCTGCTACTCTGAAACAGAGTTATGAGTTATCATCCATAACAATTTTAGTCTTCAAACATTAAACTACTCCTCACCAAATCCCTAAAGTAGATAGTCTTATCATCCCCATTTTATAGATAGGAAAGCTACTAGAAATTAAACAATTTGCCCAAGATTACAGCAGTGACAAAAAAGAATTAAAATTCAGTTCCTACATCCCAGTCCTCTGTTCTGACTGAGCCCTAGACCACTGTTTCTCAACAGCGGGTTCATGGCTCTCCCTGACACAGTTTATGAAGGCAGCAAGCCAATCCCTGATATCAAAAAGGTTGAAAAACACTACACTAGACCATTCTATCCTCATAGCAACATGGACACAAAAATTAATTGTTAAATCAATTTCTTACGCAAACCTTCACTGTTGCATACCTTTTGATCCATGCCAGAAGCCCTCCTCTAACTTCCATGCAAGCATGCAAATAGGGCAGTTCCATTAATTTATTTGTGCAGTCTTTTCACACAATTAGGGAAAATTCAACTGACAGTTGTTTATTACAGCGTGTTTCAGAGCAAATGCTACACTAATGAGAAGGCTTAAAGACTTGCCAAGAGTGTGTCAGCTGATGCTGCCATAGAGATCAATCGACATTTTACTATGGACTTAACTTGGATCAGGTCCAAATTTCTGCAATGAGAGAGAGGTGGCCCTGTGGCTATGACAGAATGTTTTGATTGTATGGAAGCTTATACAGTACATGAGCACACAACATGCAGTTTATTTCAAAAGTGTGCTTCATTGTAGCACAATATCACAGTGCTAGACTCCAGCGGTAATGAGTGAAAGTAGCAGGGAATATCGTTTACCAACTTCCCAGCATGGTAGATATCTAGGGTGACCAGACAGCAAGTGTGAAAAATCAGGATGCGGGTGGGGGGGTAATAGGAACCTATATAAGAAAAATACCCAAAAATCGGGACTGTCCCTATAAAATCGGGACATCTGGTCACCCTATAGATATCAGGCCTCCCCCTTGAGCTATGGGAACTCAAGCCCTAGTTGCCTTTGGCCTTCCAAAGCTGAAATGCTGGCTTCAGTGGAGCACTAGCACACATTTATTTGCCATCCTGATCAGACACAGTGGGTGATTCAAGCACACCAAGCCAGCCACAGGTAGTTTTATAAGGACAATGAGCCAACCAGCTACAGCCTGCTTTTTAAAATTCTATAAAGGAGGAACAGACAAGCACATGTGCAAATTGAGCATGTCACTCCTCATTTAGCAGACCATCAAACCATCAAATTACCAAATTATCAAAGAGAAATTTGGTAATTTTCCTTTTTGAGGGGATGAGGGAGAGGGGAAAAAAGAGGTGGTATTCTTGCCAGAGAGTTACCCCCATTTGGGTTGAATGCAGGGATTTGCCTACACCCCCCCCCCCGAATTTGCCCAACACCCCCCTCCCCAGTTTTGTGAACTAGTTACATGCAGTGTTGCCAATTTAGTGATTGTTCCGAAAACTGAATTGAAATTGAAACATTAATACACATTTTAAAAACATATAAAGTGTATGATAAAATACATGCATTTGAAAAAGTATAATAGATTTGGAAAGTATGAACATAGACTAGCTTCCTTATACAGCTGTTGTTTTTTATGACAATGTCAGTGCATTCATTTCGGT